ATAAAATAAAAAAAAGACATTATCTCACGCTCACAATTAATATATAAGAAAAGATCAGCAAATTTTAAAAAATTGCTTACAAAACAATAAATTCTTTATGAGAACTGATAATGAATAAATCCATTACTCTGAGTTTTAGCATTAAATCAGACATTTATTTTTTCCGTTGTAAAGATATTTATAAGAACCGCTTCATGTCTATCATCAACTAAGCTTATTGTGCGTCATCATATCCTCAGGTATTATACGGTAAACCGGCTCTGACAAATAAACTCCTCTATCCATTCAATAGCGGCATTAAGCACATCTATCTTGCCCTAGGGAAATATACACGTCCTATATATCACGTATCCCCCATTCAAATGGATTTATATTTGTAATTATAATTCTGCATTTTGTATCTAAATTTCATACAATACAGATAAGATCGAGCAATATTAATCGGTATAATTCAATTATAAAACAAAAATTAACACAAGACATTAATATTGTGAGATATAGTTTGTTAGGATTTTTTCTAATTTACAAGTGTCTTTTTATTCGTCGCATCGCGATGCAATAGAGACGGCTAGTTAAGATTCGAGGAAATGACCGAGCTCCATTACCATCAAGGCTACCTGTTACAAGAACGCGCACACTTCTTCTGATCGCGTACTTAGATGGAAACCTGAACTAGAGAAAGAAACGGTAGGCAGACGCCGCCAGACGAGCGCCGAAGCGACCGTCTCGCCTAGACGGACATTTATTTCTTCCCGGCCGTTGGCCTTGCATGCTTCAGCACGTGGAGATTAACGTGAAAACCGCAGGGCAGACATTTTCCGCTCAACACGTTCACGCAATTTCGTTCTCCGCTTTCATGCGTTGCTCTTTTTTGCATCAAGTTCATTAGATAAGACAAACGGGTTTCTTAATTTGGACACGATCATTTTTTATTTATACTTCTTAAAAAAAACCATTTTTTAGATAGTTTAATTCTTCTCTTATCGAATATATAATACTAGATTCGAATTTTTTTATTAGCCATAGATTATGAATTTTTTAATAAATATCTTGTTCGAGATTACAATTTGCATTAACATTTTTATAGAAACAAATATATAATACGGCATAATAAAATCTCGATGGCGTTTATAAAAAATTAAACTTTAATTCCAAGACTATAACCGTGATATAAATAATGTTTTTATTTAACGAAAAGGATGAATAATTTAAAACGATGTTCCTTAACCGATCGTATACTGAAGCGTTTATCTTGAATAGGTAAAATCCGTGATAGACAGCAGATGTGTAGGAGTTTATATCAGCGATAAAAGTGCCACGCCCTTTATCAGCAAATAATGTCACTGTGTGCGTGTCACGCAAATCGCGTATCGATCCTCGACTTGGTAGAACCTCGACCTTGGTCCTTGAAAATATTCGGGTGCATCGACCCTTCCTGAAACGTCTTGTACAGTCATCACGAAGGGCATGGCTGTGATATTTATCGAGCGGTCAGTCTGAGTTAGAGACGGAAGTGTAGACATATTTATAATCATTCGCACGCGCAGTTCTGCTGATTCTACGATTCAGCTTTTTATCAGCCGATCGTGAATTTCAAATCAGTGTGATTAACTTCCGTCATGTTGAGCGATAACGCGAAAAAAAAAATGTATAAAATCTTTCGTCATAAATCGAATAAAATCAGTACGATATCCTCATGACATGCATAATGTAACAAATATGTTAGTGCCAATTGATCACCTCTTCATATTATAATTATTCGTATATATTAACATTAAATTTTAATTATTATTACATTTATTTCAATCCTGTATTATTAAGTGCTTTTAAATTTCAAAATAAATCTATTACTCTCTCTTCCTCTTGAAAGCGATAGCGGTATATTTTTATCTTACAATATACAATAGACACATTTTTCTGACGCTTTCTAACAATCTAACGAACGCGCTCAGAGATGAGAGTCACGTTTCTTGGCGCAGCTCCCATGCTTTCACCGATTTTGTTTCTTGCGAAAGGATCTTACCGCAGGAAGAGTCTACCAGCACAATACACGGCTTTAAATTATAATGCGTCATATGTTATCCGCGGAACAAATTCCACAATAGAACGTAACAATATACCAGTCCATGAGGCGACACTCTGCCACAGAATTTTGTCACTTTGCACAAAGAGACGGGCGTTTGGAAGGGAATTCAATATCGCGTGGGAGTTGTTCATGGGGTTGGCAAGGGGTCTTCGTCAGACAGGCCGACGCCCTTGCACCCGATAGACCGTATCCCAACTATTCCAGACCAACAAATACTTAAATTGGATAGAGTATCGATATTTTGAAACGTATTGATTCGATTCGACAAATTTTGTGAAAAAATATTTTTCAACGCCAGAATTATATATACATGTAAGAAACGTTTCGTCTTGAATTATTCATAATAATAATTGCATAATAATAATTATTATTTTAATTAATATCAGATAATATTATAACTATTGAATAAATTGCATCATTACTTATCTTGTTCAACATTTTGATCGTACTCTATACTTTATCCGGATATATATTAGTTTGCAGTGCAAAGAAAATTGAGAGCAAAGCATCGAACTGCCATGAGAGTATTGCGAGTATCTCTATTCACGCCTTGTGTGGTTTCTACCCTATTCGAGAGAATTACTCCTGTTTCAATACGGTTAGTTCGCGAAGAATGTAAGAAACGAGATCGATTAACGAAGTTACATTCGTCAGGGCACACCCTCGGGTTATAGCCGCGTAAATTGCCATAGTTTTTGACGAATAAAGATGAATTATACCTTATGTTACGATGATTTACGATTGATCTTTTTATGATTACTAAATATTTTATTTTATGCGGATGCACAAAAATAATTATTATTTATTAAATACTTGTGATTCTAATTCGCATATAATAAAATAAATGTCACATCAAGATATTTCTTAAATTTATTTCGTTGATGAAAACCGTTGAGCAGAAATTTTGCTCTCAATCCCTTTAAAGGAAATCGCGTATCCTGTTTACGCAACGATTGCCAATTTCCGTTGATCGTTCGACAGATTCAGAACCTGATTCTCTCCCTCACAGATTGGGGTATATTTGGAAAATTTCCGTGAATTAATCCGTCCCTCTCTTTTACAGCCTTTCCCGGTTTGTTTCAAAAAGATACACGGAAATACGTAGATAGAGAATCAGATATTACTAGATATCTCTTTTTACAAAACATGACGTCTATTATGACATTTCAATTTCTTTTTTGTTTTATATTAAATAAGATCAAAATTTTTATATTGCAAATCTGTCCAAGTCCTTGTATCTTAACCATTATTCACCAGCCTTACATTAAGTACTAAGCGATTTAAACGTCAAATGCAACGTCGGATGTAGTATCTCAGTGACCTCGTCCTTTTCTCAATTGTATATATTAAAGGATATATCGAAAGAAGAAAATCCTTAAAATTAGAAAGTAATTTATTTATATCATAAGAATTAACACTTCTCTCTCGTTGAATAAAAATTTATATATATATTACTAAAGAAAAAATTAGAGAAATACTTATCTGTAATGTGTAATTTAGATAAATTGTTTAATTTTTTCGAAAATCTTACACAATTATATAATTTTTTGGTTTTACACACGCATGCGATATTTTTATATATATATTACTTGCGTCGAAAGAATAATACCCGCTCCGTAACCATTCGAATCGGAGATATTTGCGAATGTTTGCAAGACTCGAAGACTGGCTGTTATTGATTAGGAAGAAGGTTCGAAGCCGGGAGCAGCTGAGCTACCCTTGTCCTTTCCCTGCATTTCGAGGCTGTTCGCGCACGTGGCCGTCGCGCCCCATTCATAACAACCCCCAGCAACACCCTAAGACCGCCCTAACCGGAGCACAGCTGTTGCCATGGGAGACATATCGGTACCTTATTAAGACAGTTCGATAGTATTCCCTTCTTAACGAGTTTTATCGGCCAATTGTAGGGGTATAGGGTCATTTATTGCTTGTGCGACGCATTTTCGAAAACAATTTAATTATTGTGGGCTACTTTAATAAAAATGCAAAACTTTGTCAAGCAGAGCGACAATTTTTCATTGCAAATTAGCTTTCAAATTTGCACAAGATCTATTTTTATATCCGTGTCTATCCATAATATAACGAGTGTTTTAATTTTTTATTAAAATTGTGTGCTACATTCCTTGAAATTACATTTCTTTTCAATTCATTCATCGTACTTTTGTCATTTATCATATTTAAAAAATGGAATATTTTCTTTCTGTTACAGATCTTTCAAAAAATCGCTTCAGTGAGTTACCGGAGGAAGTCACGGAATTCCCATTTCTCGAGAAGCTGCACCTTTACCATAATGCCATAAGAATAATCCCGGAAACCGTCGTAATGCTCCAATCCCTGAACTACCTCGATCTTAGGTTTGTATACCTATGTATATATGCCTATCTATATTGACGTTCGTGCGATATATCGCTCTATATCTACATCCTGTTTAATATGACGTAATAGTGTCGATAACAGTTCTCGGAATATTAGAAGAATATATTTTACTGTATGTAGCACGAAATATTATATAATGGAAAATTAAAATATTTTAAAAGTCGTCATATATATTGCGACCATAATTGATCAACTATATAATAACTCATCGAGTAATATATTTTTCGATTTAAAGAAACGAGTTTCAACGCGAAAGACGCATAATTCTAATAATTTTTAACAAATCTATATATATATATATATGTATTTAAAAAAGATATCTTGCAAAAAATATTAAAGATATTAATTTTAAAAAATAAACCGCATAAAGTAATCGATTGATCTATTCGTTCTAAGAAATAAATTTCTTAGAATGAACGTACAAGAAACAATTTTAGTAATGTCCAGGCAAAGTTTTTATTTAAAAAAGAAACAATGTCCTGACGTCTCTCTATAGTCGAAACCAATTGACGTCACTACCTCGAGAGATATGCAGGCTACCTCTCCAGACCTTGCTAGTCGCGCACAACAGATTAGCATCTCTGCCAGATGAGCTGGGCAGGATGACAGCATTGGCAGAACTGGACGCAGGTTGCAACGAAATCACGAGCCTTCCACCTCGAATAGGCGACCTTGCGCGGCTCCGGTCTCTAGACCTGAGGAGCAACTTGTTGGTGCACCTGCCTATAGGTAGGCCCGCCCTTTTAATGGGATTGCGACATTTATAGTAAATGCATTCGTGTTACGATCGGATCCGCGATTAAGAAATTGTATCGATCTGTGCAAAGAAATGGAAGTCTTGCAAAAAAACTTGCTTGAAAATATAATTCTCGGTAAATTAAATCTTGCAAAATTAATGTATTGAATTAATATAAATCAGTTCTAATTAAACTATTTATTTATTTGTTAAACAAGATGAGAAAATTAATTCTAAATAAAAAAAGAAAATTTAGAATAAAATGTAAAAGAATCTAAAATTATTTTTCTTAACGAAGATAATTATCGGAGAATTTGACGATCAATTCTCGACGAGAAATAATTCAATTAGATTTTTAAAACGCAATTTTTACATAGAACTGACGTACCTGAGGCTCGTGAAGCTGGATATTAGCGGCAATCGAATATCTGTGCTTCCGAATGAGATGAGGAAGATGAAAGGCTTGGTGGATTTCAAACTGTCCGACAATCCGCTGACCTCGCCGCCTGCCTCGGTGAGCATTCGTAAACGATTCATTCGTTCGTTTTCACTTAAGAAAGAGGGAGAAAGAGAGTCCGATATATTTTCCTTGACGCACATACACCTACGTTCTTTCCTCAGACCGACGGATTTTAATAACCCGTACACGATATTACTTCATCTGTCGACTACGTCGTTTCCTTTATTCGCAGACTTTTTATATCCTACGAAGTTGATTGGTATACTTTCGAGACTTTATTTGAATTCTCAGATCAATATCTCGACAATATTCGATATCGTTCTGTCGCTGGGAAGATACATAAAACGAACTAAAATATAGCGAACGTCTTTTCTTAGAATATTGATTCGAAGCATTCTAAAGTGGCCGTTTTTATTGCCGGTTTCAGCTATGCATTCGCGGGCGAACGCACATTTTCAAATATTTGGAGAGGCAAGCAGCGAAACACGAGAGAGCCAGAGGTGGTCGAACGCGGCGAGCACCTCTGGATGCGAGAGGTCATGTGACGCTGGATACGAGGTCGCATCGGCGGCACAACATCGACAGCGGGTACAGCACGAGTGACGGCGTCGACAAGCGTTGGTCCCAGGAAATCCACAGCGCGGTTAGTTTCGCCGTCGTTCTCGTGGCCTTTTCTCTATCGCTCCATCTCCTACACACGCTCTGCAGCCACCTCTCCACTAAGCTATTCGGCGAGTCTGTCGCCGAATCGCCCGCGGATCTTTGATCCGAAGATCCAACGTAAATAATGAGTCATATGAATAAACCGGAGCATACTAACGCTTTTGCTTTTAGCGAAGGAAATTTTTGAAATAAAACATATCGTGTGAATGTAAACATTCTTACTTTTCTTATCGAAGAAAATATTGGAAAATACGAATAATGATATTACAACATTTACTTACGCACGTAGTTAAAATAGTTGTGTAAATAAAGGAATATATAGGTAAATGTGCCCCGTAAAATGCGAGACAGATGTTCTATGATAATAATAAAGTATCATATACTTTTGCTTTATATTCTTGCTTTAGAAGAAATGCTTTTGCTTCGTAGACGCTTGATTTGACCAAGAATAATTAGCCCATTTATTCATATGACGTCTTAGAGTAATATTAAAAAAGTTATTTACATTTTTTGTGTGTGTGCAAATCTTTGTATAAATTATTGTGTACAAAAGAAAAAGAAAATTTTTATCTCAGTGATTGCGTTCGATATCTGATCGAATATGATATATGATCGAACATTTTGTACAAAGTACACGAATAAAATTTTTCTGGTACGCGAGATGCATACCGTTCACGATTTTACATGCCTCCTATTTGGCCACCGTTTTCGTGCAGGTGCACGACGGCGAAGTACGTGGTTTGTGGCGGCAGGACCGCTTTCGATAACGCTACCGCACGAGGTAGGCGTGAACGGGTCCTGCAGTGGCACGTCGACGCCTAGCACGATTTCACCCGGAGAGCACACGTCCCTGGAAGATGAGTTGGGCAAGGTAGGCTAATACGTAAGATTATCGCAAGAAAAACTAAGCAATCGAATTTCCTATTGTTTCAAGATACGAGAAAAAGTATTCTGTGAAAGATATATCGAGGTTCACATTTTTTTTTATTTCTTCTTATCAACGAGTACAATTTTTTATCGAGTATGGCAGTAATTGCCATTTAAATATAAAATTCTTTTCTTTATTTTTTACATCTAATAAATAAAAATGTCGATCACCCAATATATTTGTTAAACGATTTATTTACATTTATTTACAAAATTAAAAATTGCATCATCTCTTTAAACAATTACATTTTCTTAAAAATTATCCATGATGGAAAAGGGAGGTTTTTGTAAGATAATAGTACGGTATCACACACATAATATATAATTCTAATAGTAAATTAAAATAGTAGAAAATCAGATATCTGTATCTGCTATAGTTATCGTAGGCACTTATTGTGCTACATTACTATCTAGAGCAAGTGGTTAAGAATATTGGGCCGTACTACAGAATGATGACATGGTCGCTATATTTAGCTGTCGAATAGATCTCAAGTCGAGAGCCACGGCAATGATAGTCGTCTCGACAAGCCGTTGTTGGCTGTCGCTCAAATCTCGTTACAAGACCTTGACCCGATAAAACCTGATAATCACGTTAACGATATTTCAAAATTACGGATACGCGATGCATCAATAATAATATATTAGCATCTGTGTAAATCTGATGTATCCAAGATCGACTTCTTACTGTTTTCATCAATTTTTTACTGTTTTTCTCACGTATTAAAAAAAAAGTTGAATTTTTACTTATTTTTTATTAATTTACTTTGAAATCTACAATCATAGAGTTAATTGAAAAAAATAAATTCTGGGATAGAGAAATAGATAATATTAATTAAAAACTGGTTGAGAATGTTGTCTCTTTTCTAAGTAAATTTAAAATTTTGAGAAATTAATTTATTAAAAATTAAAAACTATTTTTTAATATGTTTAACGCTACTGTTATAAGATATCTTTTATTAGACTAAAAATTAAAGTCTCACGAGAAATCTTTTGCAGGCGATGATATTGCACGATCAACTGGAAAAGAGGAGATTAGAGAGGAGCACATCGGAGAACGGGGCAGACATTAGGAGACCGATGATCTCTGGCCTTCACCACACATCGATTACGCCACCGGGGTGAGTGAAACCTCTCGCTACGATGATTATCCGATCCGCGTGCTTTCCCTCGTAATAAACGAACGCGTCCCTCTGTCGGTGTCTCCCATTGATATTGTGATACGAATTTGTCACGGACACGGTAGTTTACACGTATATACGTAATACTCTTGCATGCGTGCATGTGCATTATCGTGGCTGGCAATCCTTTTTTACAGCCATCTGGAGTCCACACACTTGACGAGTCAGTCGCAGCAGATATCGTCCGCGCAATCGGTACACCCGCTTCAGACTGCGATGAATCCCACCACACTGGTGAACGGCGACGATAAGAGGCCATTGAATCACATACAAACGTACAGGTAACTTTGCTTTGAACCATACAAAGGCTCTTGTCCGTCTGAGTTTATCTCATTCACATTACTACGTTTGCGTTACACTCATCTTACTCATCCAACTGTACTTGAATCCTCCAGACGCGCTCTAGTAGTGCTATGACGAATCATTTGCGTTGAACAACTACAAACAACGCTGCCGTATTAATCTTCTCAAACGTCCAGAGATTGGATATTTGATTATATTTTGATAAAAAATTATTTTTTACTTTTTTTCTAAACTTTAGCAAGTTAGAGGATTAAAGTGTTATTATCATGCTTTCAGTATTTTTTATACATAGTTGTCTTGCTTTTATAATCATTCATATTTGCAAGGATCATATAATATTCATAAAAGTCATTATATCATATTCTCGTACGCTCTATAACGGTACATAAAACTTCGAAATTATAGACTATCTTATTCTTAGGGAGTACAAGGAAGCTCTGAAGCAACAAAGAGCTAACGAAGGTCTAAGCGTGTATAGACCTCGCGAACAGGTGACACCACCAGGAAATGAGTCGCAAAACAACGAGACAGATTCGGGCAATAATAAGGAAATCATTGCTCTGACCGGTAAGCAAATCTTCAACGAGGACAACGCGTTAAAGAGGCCGGTACAGAAGGTCACTCCGTCGCGGATCAACTATCAAAACACGCCGATCATCAACGGCAGCAACAACGAGTACAACAACAAGAACGGAAAATATCTCGAGCAACCTTATAAGAAACCCAGCTCGCCTATTAAAACTTGCAGTAGTATTCTGTCCGCAAACACGAGTCCAGCGCACGCGCCCAGGCTGGTGAAAACCGCTGTCGGTTACGTAGAAGGTGACCATCTATAAATAAAACCAAATATAGGATTACATGATCGATTTTAGATATAGAATCGTTTTTAAATAACAATTACATTTATATAAGCAATGTATAAGAGCATTTTTACATTCTATGAGAATGTAAAATTTCTCTTATGCATTCTATTTAGTAGAAGGAGACTTGATTACACAAAATGCACATAGTATGTCTATCTTTATTAGGCAACAAGAGTCCAAGCAGAAACGGTGGCAGTCCGAAATCTCCGCGATCCGTTACGTGGAACAGTAATCTGCCTGAAAAATATTCCTTTACCATGAGGAGAGAATTCGAACGCGCCAAAGAAGAAGCTGATCTCATCGAACAACTGCGAAATGTAAGTATGACGAAAAGTAGCTGCAATTGTAGTTATATATAACAGTCAAAAAAATACATATTGCATTTATCTTGTAGCACATAGAGACGAGATTAAAGATGGCACTGCCGGAGGACCTCGCACCAGCATTAACGGACGGCGTTGTTCTCTGCCACCTGGCCAACCACGTCAGACCACGATCGGTTGCCAGTATACATGTTCCTTCTCCCGCTGTAGTAAGTATATTTTTTACAACAATTCGTTATTTTTGTGATACACAATTTTGTTTATCGGTGTAAGGACGTCAACGTTTTTTGTTCTTTTTTTTGCAGCCTAAACTGACAATGGCGCGATGCAGGCGTAATGTCGACAACTTTCTCGAGGCGTGTCGGAAGATCGGCGTCGATGAGGTAAGAAACATCGTCAAACTTGTTAATTAGTTTCGAGAAAGTTTGTGCTTCTCTTTCGCTCAAGATATACCATTATGCATGAGACATGCTGTCATCGTTAGCATACATTATGGAACATATAGATCTAGTGGACACTTCTAAATTGACCGAATTATTCCGATGTTTCTATCTTCTGTAAATAATGCGATACGAGAATCACGATAGGTAATAATTGTACTGTATTGATGAATCGTCGAAGAGTAGAATGTAAAAATAAGAGACATAAAACACAAAGTGCGAAAAAATACTCTTTATAAAGCACGATTACGAGTTGACGATGATACTTTCATCAAGTATTGTCTTATTTAAACCCGATCTATCGTATCTGCTTGGTGAACAGTTGGATGAAAAAATTTATCGTACATTACTTGTAACCGAACGTCTGTGTACATCGTAACTAACGCTTCGGCAATAGAGCCGTCATTTCTCGATGATACTTCCAACAACTACTAGTCAGTCCCCGATTTTAATCTGATCTCGATCGAATGTAAACCGTTTTTAAGAAAATGATGAATGAAAAGACGGATATATAAATATTATATAAGAATATAAGATCACGGAGAAGGAAAACAAATTAGCGAAGAAGCTTTAGTTGCATGCGCCTAGATTCCAATCTGCTTTTGTGTCGCTTCTTCGGGGAACAATCTGTATCTCGGCTGTCACTCTTCCTGCCATCATCCGAATGTCTTATCAATTAACATTGATGGGTTCTAACACTATCCTTCTAACACTATCCTATAAACTGTATAAAAAGAATCCCAAAAAAATCTCTCTTCATTATTACATAAAATACTATTATATTGCTCATGGGTTCTAACACTATCCTTCTAACACTATCCTAAACTGTATAAAAAGAATCCCAAAAAAATCTCTCTTCATTATTACATAAAATACTATTATATTGCTTACTTGCTTTCCTGCCCATTCTACCTCTTGATGTCCTTCAATTGCTTTTCTTGTGATAGAACTTTTGATACAATTACAGGATAAACAAGCAAATTACAATCGATTTTGACACGTATTAGAATAAAAATAAACGGATAAGCAAAATCTAAGCTCTATCTCAAAAGTTCTTTCGCAAAAGCAAAAGGTTTCCTTACACGATACGGTGATAAGTTACAGACGGTTATAATAATCGAATAAAATAAATATTCCCCGAAGAATGCTTTTTTTCTCATCGATACAAAAGTAGGGCCTTCCTCGAAGAGGACAAAAATATGCATTTTAAGGCCACGTGAGAAATATTCTCGCAGTGCGGTGACGTAGAAACTGGGACTGAGTAGTATCGTTGTTGGTGTTGCAGGAGGCGTTATTGGACGCGGACGCAATCATGGACGTGGGTTACATGGACGCGTACGGGCTGGAGGCTCTGGCGCGTCTCGTCACCGCTCTT